TGATTTGCTTTTTTACATAATTATGCCCCTTTTTCGACTTAGAAATTCTTGGTTAAGTTTTTGTATGTAAGCTGGTATCTCCATAACTACTGAAGGGAATGGATTGAAACTTCAAACACTTGTTCTCTGTGATTATCTAAGATGATTGGCACAAGTCCCATAACTCTGATTTGCTTTTTTACATAATTATGCCCCTTTTTCGACTTAGAAATTCTTGGTTAAGTTTTTGTATGTAAGCTGGTATCTCCATAACTACTGAAGGGAATGGATTGAAACTTCACACACTTGTTCTCTGTGATTATCTTAGATGATTGGCACAAGTCCCATAACTCTGATTTGCTTTTGTACATAATTATGCCCCTTTTTCGACTTAGAAATTCTTGGTTAAGTTTTTGCGTGTAAGCTGATATCTCCATAACTACTGAAGGGAATGGATTGAAACTTCACACACTTGTTCTCTGCGATTTTCTTAGATGATTGGCACAAGTCCCATAACTCTGATTTGCTTTTTTACATAAAAATGCCCCTTTTTCGACTTAGAAATTCTTGGTTAAGTTTTTGTATGTAAGCTGGTATCTCCATAACTACTGAAGGGAATGGATTGAAACTTCACACACTTGTTCTCTGCGATTATATAAGATGATTGGCACAAGTCCCATAACTCTGATTTGCTTTTTTGCATAATTATGCCCCTTTTTTATCTTAGAAATTCTTGGTTAAGTTTTTGCGTGTAAGCTGGTATCTCCATAACTACTGAAGGGAATGGATTGAAACTTCATACACTTGGTCTCTGTGATTATTTAAGATGATTGGTACAAGTCCCATAACTCTGATTTGCTTTTTTACATAATTATGCCCCTTTTTCGACTTAGAAATTCTTGGTTAAGTTTTTGTATGTAAGCTGGTATCTCCATAACTACTGAAGGGAATGGATTGAAACTTCACACACTTGTTCTCTGTGATTATCTAAGATGATTGGCACAAGTCCCATAACTCTGATTTACTTTTTCGCATAATTATTCCCCTTTTTCGATTCATAAATTTGTGGTTAAGTTTTTGTGTGTAAGCTGGTATCTCCATAACTACTGAAGGGAATGGATTGAAACTTCACACACTTGTTCTCTATGATTGTATTGAAACTTGAAGGGTTTGTACCTTTTTGTACAATTTTATGTATTCATATAGCAGGGCTCGACACTAACGATGGTCCGTTAGCCCGAGGCTACCAATTTTCCCCAAGGACTACCCGAGTTTCCAAGCTGGGTATCCCGTCGGGCTACTCAAAATTTCAGTGACCTGATGTCTCTAAATTCACTTAAAATAATTAATAAAATAACATTTTTTAGGCTATGATTCAAAACGAAAGATAAATTCATCTTACTAGTAAATAATTAGCTGTTGGGTCACTAGTGTCAGTCACAGCAGACGCAAAATAGATTCTATAAATTGGCGAAAAGTGAAACCGGAAGTCCAACTTAATTGCCGATTTTTCCAGCCTACTTCAATAGAATTATTTGTCTATTAAACATTTTAATGAAAATATTTGCTCATATTGGAACCTATTCAAGGGTTTAAACTTAAAAAAATATGATTTGTTGATTGATGTAAATCACACTGACAATGATAACCAAAATAAACGTGTTGTCTGAAATAGATCTGATTTCGGATGTAATTTATTCGGACATGAAATTATTGGGAAAAAATCTCTTTAAAAAAAAAGAGAAGAAAAATGTTTAAATCTCTTTAAAAAAGAGAAAAGAAATATTCTAAAGTATTAAATTTTGTAATTGTCTTTGCCATAACTTCACAATGTTGTAAGCAATTCTTAATCATGTACAAGCAAATGTAAGCAATAATGCCAATACATGTATATGAAGAAAAAAATTGTTAACAAATACTAATACCCGAGGCATAAAAAACTAAGGCAATATAGTTTGATTAAAAATGGCTTTACATTTCTAATTTCGTGTTTAAATCAGGAACAACAGATATTAATATCTAATGTCCCTATGACAGTTAAATAACTGAATTACTAGCACTAGTAAAAGTTTGTTATTCTGATATTTTGTTATATGTCTGACAAAATAAGTTTGTAGAATAAATCAATTAGAGTAAAGACAAACATATTTTGTTCTTGTCCAAGCTTTTTACTTCTGTTTTGAATTTATAAACACATCTAAAAGGTCATACATTATCTATACCTGAAAGTAGATTTGTAAGCTCTATTGAAATATTTTTTTAATACAAAAGCCAGGTATTACATAAATTTAAAACTGACATATTTATTTAGCTCATATTGCCAATATATTCTCCCTTTCCCTATAAGCTGTCAATAATATAAGCTGAGCTGATTGCCTAGCAATTTTATTTGCAACACACCTTAGTAATTCCTGGCTAGAACCCTTTACCTGAAGGTAATGTCTGGCCTTTCAAAAGCTATTGACTTTGTGTGTCACACTGCCATATTTTATAACAAAAATATGTAAAAAAATGTTGATGATGACTTTGAAGAGCTCAGAGGCTAGCCGGAACCTACATCTCATGCAAAATAAAGCTTACAAACTTTTACCAGATCCTATGTGATTTATCTATTGGTGATTTTTTTCCAATAAATTTCAAGAGATCTCATGCTATTGTTTTCTTATCTTCAGATACATACACTCAAAATGCATTTAAATAGAATAAGAAACATTTTTTTATGTTTTACAATGAGGACTACCTAGATTTGCCAAGGACTACCTGATCCTCAAAGTAGGTAGTCCTTCTGACTACCCCTAAAAAAAGTTAGTGTCAAGCCCTGTATAGGTAAGCATTATTATACTCAATGAAACACCCTTGTGACAAATTTTCGAATAGTCGAGCGTTACTGTCCTCCGACAGTTCTTGTGTTGTCATATTATCTATTATAGCATAAAATCGGCTATTTTTCCCTCTTTTGCCCATGTTATAATGGGACCAAAACCATCTGTTAACATTGTAATAGCTCTTTGTTATAGCCCGGTTTTACCTATGCACAATACATACAGGGCCAAGTAAACAAACAAAAAATGAGGATTTGGCCTTTTTGCCAAAGTGTTATATTGAAATTATTGATGTGAGGGCCTCAATCGCATAACGGCGAGTAACATTCAAGTAACTTTGCCGGAAATACGGCAAATAGACATCGCCGCTAATCTTGGTTGTTTCCCTTTCTAAGAAATGGACAGTTGTCAATGTTATGATAATGTAAACAAATAATGTGATTCAGTTTAACCCTGAAATTAACTTAGAAAACACAAAATGAATATGAGAAAATGTTGTTTTATTTATGTTTATATTGATAAATGCTTTTTATATTTCTTTGAGAGAATAATGCCTGATATTCTTTTATAAACTTGTGAGCTTGAAAAAAAAAAATTCTGATGTCACTGATCTTTTTTCTACCGCCAATCTGAAATAATTCTAAGAATTTCTGAGGGTCTTGGCAGAGTAATTCAGGCCCGTCGTCACGATTTTGTGATTGGTGCGGCCAATTTGATTGGTTTTAGGCAGAATGTAGGGGGGTACGGGGGCATGCTCCCCCGGAAAATTTTTTATTCTAGGATGCTGTCAGGGGCGTTTTCCCGTATATTTGGCACAGTTTACAGCCTGCCGCTAGTACATGTTATAGTAATATGTCAACGATTTTTTACAGATTTAAGTGCGTCGTAAGTTTTAAGGGTGAAATTTAAGGTTCGCATGACGGACGGACAGGTGTACATAAAAGATGAATACATGTAATTGATATTTGGCAAATGAAAAATAAACAATAACTGATGTTATTATAATTCTTTAAATGCATTTTTATCTGATGATTATAAATAAACAAATAAAAGAAATATTACAGTACGTGGATTATTGTTTAGCATAAATCACACATTGGTATAAGCTTAAATAACAATCGATGACATGATGGAAGAATAGTTCATTACGAGTCAACAATAACCACTTTTTGTTTAGCAGTAACTTGTATTTGTTAACAATAATCTTACACAACACAGAGTCTCATTTGATGTAAATTTTCCAAAAACACATCGCCGTCGTTCTCTGGTAGTGATGAACTCATCGGCAAAGTAAGTTGAGTGGATCTGTCAGTTAACACCATTAGATTGTTCAAACGTACTTGAGACATTGTCGATCTCAGGTATGTCTTAATTCTTCTGAACGCCGAGAATGTCCTTTCACTGGTAGCATTAGTAGCAGGCATTACTAACAAAATCTTAAGCAACACAACGACCTCAGAGAACAGTGCTCGTTCTAGCACCGACTGTTCTGACACAAATTTCAAAAAGCCGGGTAGAGTAACAGTACTATTTTCTGATTTGTCAAAATGTGAAGCTGCACATCTAAGATGTCTCGGTTAATATCGTTACCACAGAAATCACAAACAAAACCAAGTTCTCTAGTGGACTCGGTCTTCAAAAGTTGTGTGGCCTTTTTAAGTAAATTCTCCACGTTTTGAAGAACGCGATATCCCGGTTGGTCAAATCTCTCTTTAACACTGGCGATGGCAAGATCGATTGCTTCAAAGTATACTTAGGCCGGAACACGTCCTGCACTGTAACGGGGTTGTAGCCAACACCGTGCCCCATCTCGAATCGTGTGGGCGCCTTTCTCTTCTGCGGAACATTTGGATCGTTAACACCAACTTTGAAGTTTAATCTATGAAGAATGAAAACTGTCGTCTGATCTCATGTCTATCAAACTATCTAGAGTCCGCTTTGCTAGCCGCTGGCCCTCGGATGCTGACAATGAAACTTGTTGAGGAGATTTGCTGAGGTTGTCTGTCAATGCTAGGATGTCGTGTGCAAACATTACACCGAAAAAGTACTCGAACTTGACTTCGTAGGACCCCTACATATACCTGGTCAATTAATTGTGTAAAACACATACGTAAAGCATGTAGAATTGGATAAATACCTTCCAAGCTAAAGGATTTAATCTATGTGTTTTGTTTTAAATATACATCATGAATCTTTTTTAAAATTTTATGATATAATAGCGTCAACGCACGTTTATTTCGATTTTAGTATTTACATTTTAATGTTATTACAAATTTCATCTGCTATGATTGCATTAGTATTTTGTCATTTGAATGTAGAATGTCTCTTTTTATAACATAAACTGCTCATTTCATTTTGTTCTGATGATAACTATATTTCAGACATCTACAAAAACAGAGATTAAAACATATGAACAGTAATGAGAGATGGTTTCAGGCAGCAAAGAATTGAGGAAGAAATGCATGAAAAATGGAAACAACAGAAAATGGACATTTCAAAATTAAACACTATGATTAATCCGGCGTAGGAACAGATGATAAAATTAAGAAATAGATATGAAAAAGCCATAACACATAGGAATGAGAGGTTTGTATGATTGTTTCTGGATGACTATGATAACATTTGTAGCCTATCTCAATGGAGAGAACATGTTTAAGAAAAAAGTATCTACAGATTCAAATTTAGTTTGTTCATGTACAGTCAATTTTATTTGTAAAGTATTATGTATATGAACATTTATAAACAAAATGTTTAAATAGATAAGAAGCACATAATTCTCTTCATTAAACTTCTTGAGGTAAATAATGGCCACTAAAATAAAGTTTCTATAGCAACCCAACAAAGGTGATAAATGTTGCTAATTGCACAAATAACCCTTGATAAATTTGTTGCTCATATTGCAATAGGTAAATTTATTATTGAACATGTGATATAATCAAATACTGATTTAGATAATAAAATGCATAACTGCATAGTGTATATTTCATAACTTTTTCATTTCTTTAATTAACTATTACTGTATTTATTTTATCACAGAGGTATTGAGAGAAAGAAAATTGATTGAAAGAAATGAGGTGTGCATTTTCTAGGAAAAAGTTGACATTCAAGGTAAAGCTTTTTGTATATTCATCTTAAGGTATTAGCACCCTAATGCATTACCTCCGCTTTGAAGAGTATTCAAATAGGCTAGAACTACTGTTAACTACATTGAAAATGAGGGCCATTGGTTCAATCCCCAGAAGGGTCAACTTTTTTTTCTTTCTTTTTTTCTTTTAACATTATTTATGTATCTCTCATGTCCCATTTGGAAAGAAAAAAATGTTTAATTTTGATTTTTTAATTTATATAGGTATTTATTGGCTAAATTATGCTAAATATAGTAATAAATATAGTACCTGATATTTTCAAAGTGTAATATAATCAAAACTAGACGGTAAAAGTATTTCATATTTTACAAGATCAACCAATATACTTTTTTAAAAATTTAGGGAAACTTTTAAAACAGGCACTCATTTAGGTAATTTTTAAGAATTTTTTAAATTGGGCTCCCTAAGTAGAAAAATGGTCAGACACGTGGTAAAAATGGGTGGGGTAGGGTAACATTTTTATACAGATTTCATAAATTTTAAGTAGAAACAATAATTTTGCTTATTTGGATTGTTAGCCGAATGGTACTATTTGTTTCTTACCAAAAATTAATGGGAAAACATTTTTCATTAGAATGTTATTGCAGATTATTTAAAGGTTCCTATTTTCTAAAAAAGGGCCCTCATAACATCCTAGCTTGAGTTCAGAAAAGTGGCCATAACTTGATTTCCGTACGGTAAACTTTGTTTAAATTTTGCATACAGGTGTACTTAAAGGTATACATTTTTTAGTTCCTGATAGTGCCCATTAGGGTCCTAATACCTTAAAATACAAATGTACATACTTTGATTTTTGTTTAATCATTAAATGAATAGATCAATTTACATTTTGAATTACATACTACATGTTAAAATTATAAAATGACATCAGACAATTATGAATCTCATTCTGAAATGTCTTTTTCTGCAATAAAACTTATAAAATCAAATTGTGTATTTTGAATACTTGGTAAAGTAACAAATAATTAGTGCAGAAAAATGTCAAAATGCAGCAATTAACTTTCCTTTTCTTATGAAGTAATGGCACATAGTTTTTGGGAATTGAGGCTCTTTCTCGTAGATTTATCAGTTTAATATCATCTTTTGTAGATGAAATGATCTGGAATGGTAACGTAGAGTTTTAAGCTGGGGAAGAAGAGATCCGGTTTATATAAAAGAGAAATGCTCTCTGTGCTCAACACCTAACAGAGTTAATCTTGAAGGGGAACTAGTCACTTTACAAATACAGGTAACTTATTTATTACATTTACAATGTACAGTGTATCTATGTCTGTTTCTGTTTCATGTGAAAATTTTGCACACTAGTTAGCAACATGAAGTTTAACGATGAACAATGGTGGCCTAGTTAATTTCACCAAAAGTCGATATAAATATCATTAGACAATAGTTTCACATGTTCATCAAATCCAGTGGGGTTTTTAGGGATAGGGGGGGGGATGCTGGGCGCTGGTAGGGAGGGGAAACAATATATGAAAGTCAATTTGGGGGAAATTATGACATTATTTATACTATATACAGTAAAAACTCTGAAAACGGGACCCTCTGAAAACTGGAATCCTCTAAAAACCGGACCATTTTAAAAGTCCTATATTTTTTCTTATATGTTCATTGAAAAAAAATCCTCTGAATACCAAACCCTCTGAATTCTGAAAACCGGACGATTTTCTATGGTTTCTCAGGCTAAACATGCATAAAAAATCCTCTGAAGACCGGACAGCAATTTAAAGTGTCAACTTTTTGTGTACTTCAATGTAGATCTTAACATAATCTCAGCAGGTGACATGTTCAATTACCAGGTAATGGTCATCTCCTTTTGTCTATGCAGGTGTGAAAACACTTGTCAGTGTAATTGCTAATTTGTTATTGCCAATTAAATTATAGCTCTTTCGTAGTATTTTTGTTTTGCTGGTATACATATGATTTTTCAACAATGTTTTTAATGTGTTATGTTTTCTTTTAATATACAATGTCTAAAAGAGTTTGGAAACTTTATTTAAATGATTCCTGTTTTCCTTTAAATTTTGATCTTGAAGTTATCTTTGTTTCGATATCAATCATATGCAAAAATAGTAATACTAAATTTCATTAATTACATATTTCAAAGCTAATGAAAAAGATATTATGATATTTTTCAGACAATGTGGTGTTTTATTTTCTGATTTTCTGAATTATATTCCATGAATTTTATTCATGTATTTGCATTATAGAATTACTTAAGACATTTATATTAAAAAGAAATTAAAATATGACTTAGACAAAAGGGTTGAAAAGTTAAAATACAAAATCTTTTTTTTAAAAACCCCAAATAGCTAGAGCTTAAATATCAAGCATGAAGCATCTTCTAGTGCGTGTCTACCAACTTTGTTCAAATAAAAGCCCTGGGGTCAAAATTTGCCCAGCCCCGGAGGTCATTGTTTTTCCCTTTATGTATATAGTAAAAACTTAAAAAGTCTTCTTTGAAAAAACCCAAAGAGCTAGAGCTTAAATATTTGGCATAAAACATCAACTTGGCAGTGTCTACCAAGTTTTTTCAAATAAAAGTCCTGGGGTTAAAATTGACCAGGCCCTGGGAGTTCATTGATTTTCCTTATTTGTAAATAGTAAAAACTTATTAGTCCCCTACCGGTTTATCCGGAGGGGACTTTAGGTTTACCCTCCGTCCGTCTGTCTGTCTGTCTGTCCGTCTGTCCGTCCGTCCGTCCGTCCGTCCGTCTGTCTGTCTGTCTGTCAGTCAGTCCGTCAGTCCGTCCGTCCACAAAACTGGATCCCGCGATAACGCAAAAAGTACTGAAAATATTTTTATGAAACTTGATATATGGATAAATGGCAGTATGGAGATTATGCACGTCTTTTTCTTTTCTTCCTATGTTGAAAATTCTGGTTGCTATGGCAACAAATAGTCTGAAAATATGGCAAATTTAACACATAAACTGGATCCAGTGATAACTCAAAAAGTACTGAAAATATTTTTATGAAACATAAAATATGGGTAGATGGCAGTCTGCAGATTATGCACATCTTTTTCTTTTCTTCCTATGTTGAAAATTCTTGTTGCTATGGCAACAAATAGTCTGGATTTCAAGATTTCTGATTTAATTTTTTCAGCATTTTCACTATAAGTTCTTTATTTCTTAAGGTGTTTACTTCAAACTTTAAATATAAGTTTCTGGTCATCAACCACATCATATGTGACAAGGTTTACAACTCTTGCACAAAAATTATCAGTATTACCTCCCTTGAACTTAGAATTTTTATGAAAAAAAATGTTGTCTTTTTTAAATAACTTCTTTATTTCCTAATGTATCTACTTCAAACTTCATATATATGTTTCTTATTATCACTCAACATGTCAGTCCGTCCGTCCACAAAACTGGATCCCGCGATAACGCAAAAAGTACTGAAAATATTTTTATGAAACTTGATATATGGATAAATGGCAGTATGGAGATTATGCACGTCTTTTTCTTTTCTTCCTATGTTGAAAATTCTGGTTGCTATGGCAACAAATAGTCTGAAAATATGGCAAATTTAACACATAAACTGGATCCAGTGATAACTCAAAAAGTACTGAAAATATTTTTATGAAACATAAAATATGGGTAGATGGCAGTCTGCAGATTATGCACATCTTTTTCTTTTCTTCCTATGTTGAAAATTCTTGTTGCTATGGCAACAAATAGTCTGGATTTCAAGATTTCTGATTTAATTTTTTCAGCTTTTTCACTATAAGTTCTTTATTTCTTAAGGTGTTTACTTCAAACTTTAAATATAAGTTTCTGGTCATCAACCACATCATATGTGACAAGGTTTACAACTCTTGCACAAAAATTATCAGTATTACCTCCCTTGAACTTAGAATTTTTATGAAAAAAAATGTTGTCTTTTTTAAATAACTTCTTTATTTCCTAATGTATCTGCTTCAAACTTCATATATATGTTTCTTATTATCACTCAACATTTTTGAGAAGGTTAAATACTCTAGCAAGACTATTTCCAGAATTATGTCCCCATTGAACTTAGATTTTTTTCGAGAAATTGGTATTTTTTACTCCAACTTCTTCATTCCTTATAGGATTTACTTTAAAATCCCACATCGTAATAATATGACAAGGTTGTATAAACATAATTGCCTTACTAGGCAGGGAAACTTAACACATTACTGTGAAATAGACAAACTTAGAACTCAAAAGATTTAAGTTCATTCATGTCATTCATTCACTGGTAAAATTGAAATCAAACTGTTGCTGGGGTTCTAACCGGTAGGGGACTTATGGATTGCTTGCAATACTATGATAATTGCTTGTTTTTCTTTTAGAAAACCAAAAGAGCTAGAGCTTAAATATTTGGCATGAAACAACTAGGCAGTGTCTACCAAGTTTTTTCAAATAAAAGTCCTGGGGTTAAAATTGGCCAGGCCCTGGGAGTTTATTGATTTTCCTTATTTGTATATAGTAAAAACTTTAAAAATTTTCTTTTAGAAAACCGCAAGAGCTAGAGCTTAAATATTTGGCATGAAACATCACCTAGTCAATGTCTACCAAGTTTGTTCAAATAGATACCCTGGGGTGAAAATTGCCCCCCCCCCCCCCCCCCCCCGAGGCGTCATTGATTTTCCTTATTTGTATATAGTAAAAACTAAAAAAAGCTTCTTTTAAAAAACCAAAAGAGCTAGAGTTTAGATACTTAGCATGAAATATTTTCTAGTTAGTGTCTACCAAGTTTGTTTAAATAAAAGCCCTGGGTTCAAAATTGGCCCCTTGGGGGGTCATTGTTTTTTCCTATATGTATATTGTAAAAACTTTAAAAAATCTTCTTTTAAAACTCAAAAGAATTAGAGCTTAGCTATTTATCATGAAACATCTTCTTATGGCTGTCTAAATAAAAGTCCCTGGTTTAAAATTGGCATTGGCCCAGGGGCCTATATATAGGTGAGCGATTTCAGGGCCATCATGGCCCTCTTGTATACTTCTATTGTTGAATGAAATTTAATATACTATAGGTATAAAAGTGTGACACACTTCAGCTTCATACGAGTCATTTTCATAATAAGAAATACAAAATATATTACTTTACTAAAAATAACAAAGAAACTGACAATATTTTGATAGCAACTGATTTCAAGAAATAGTACCATTCAGTATATCATTCGGGATATAGCCAAGAAAAAAAGATAGCAGCATCCATGTTGAGACAGTACTTGCAGTTTCCTGCAATGTTTTTGGTTATTGTACCCTCACTTTAGGGGGAGGGGCATTTAGATTTGCCCTTGTCCATCCATCCGTCCGTTCTCTTTTTGTGTTGCACTTAGCTTAAAAAGTAATTGACCTACAGTCAGGAAACCTTACAGGAATGTTGATCAGCATGTGTAGAGAAAAGGTTTATATTTGTTCCATTTCAGCAACAAGATTTACACATCTATACAAACGTGAGTCTAGCATGTTGCTGGTGTCATGATGCCAACAATACAGGTTTAGACAAGTGTGTTTGTGGGACGGCATATGGCCTTGTATTCAAGGACAATAGCACATTGAAATACCAAGCAGATAGATGGTGATTTTATGAAATGTCCATGTAAGTGTATAGAAAAGTTTATGTGAAATTTACTTTTGTTTATTTTCGGGCATTTTGATAAGCAATACACTTTTCTGATTACATAAAAGTATATAACTGGTCAAGTTCAATTATGTGGATTAGCCTGTCCATGAAAACCCACTTAATGAATGCCTCATTGATGATGACTTTGCAATACTTGAGTTTACAATTATCGTCTACTGTGAGCTATTGTACACACCCAGGCATTGGTGTCACACTTTGGTAAGTTTTTGCATGCAAGTTGGTATCTCCAAAACTACTAAAGGGAATAATTAAAACTTCACACAGTAACTTAAGAGCATAATTATCCAAGGCCCATAACTCTAACTTAGATATTTTGCCAGAATTATGGCCATTTTTTTAACCAATACTCTCAGAATTACTCTTAATTGTTTATTTCTTGAAGGAAGTTTTTGTAACATCAAATATATAATGTTTGTCAGCAACACCTCTCTGCTGACAGCACTTGTTCAAGTTAAAATTAATTAGGCTGTGATATGATTTCAACATATTATGTACTTTATTGCAAAAGAATGTGGCAAAGATATATAAGTTTCTATAATTATAAGTTAGCTAGGGAAACCTGTAATAGCAGGTCTAAAGAAAAGGTTTGTGTTTTTGGTTTACCAGAGCACAAAGTATTGAAGGTACTGCAAAATCATTTAAATTTCAGGGCATAAATTTGGTGGTTTGTGAACAGTAAGATTGTTAATTCGTGGAATTCAGTTGCCAGGTAAAATAAAAAAAATATGAGTCCTTAAATTCCACTTTCAGTAAATTATACCCAGAATTTGTGCCACTTTAATGATAACAAGTGCAAGAAAACATGATCTTGACCTATTCAACAGAAGCTCTGTCTTCTAAATAAGCATGTGTCGTGTATCAATTATATTTTATAATTTGTTGTTTCATTATTTAAAAAAGGTGTGTAAATTCTCTCATCATTAATTTACCAATGTAAACATGTTTGTTTTCTTGTGATCATGTGACCTTGAATTATTTCAGCTACAAGAAATTTGGACGATGGAATGATCTGCGTGCACATTTTTGAAATGTGTTTCTTTGTCTGTTACAGCACTGTGCTTAAAATTTCAGCATCATGACGATAGAAACAATCACTGATATTTTTTTGTTTCATACAAATAATTTGCTTTTTATGTGACTTGATGTGTTGATATTGTTATTGTGAATGATAAAGCAACATAAAAAGATTAATGTTTTGTACATAGCTATTGTTGTGTCACCCCTGTACGGAAATAGACCCAACTTGGTGTGGGATAGAATATAGTTTTGTAGAACCCAATTCAAGTCATCTCTTATAATGGTTTGTTTGGTCTTATTCAAAGTGTATTTATTACATCTCTGTAGATTTTTTGTGTTATATGATAAAATCAAAGTTGTTTTTTGTGTATTCTTCGGGACCTCTTTTCTTGAAGGAAGGATTTAGGATGTACTGCCTGCCAGCATCCGGGAATCGTTAAATGGAAATTAGGTAAGAATGCAACAGACAAAACTCTATTAGTCAATTTACTTTCCCAAGAATTTTTTCTAAAGTATAATAATAGTTCACACAATATCAGTGAATTAAACAATTCATACAGTATAAACACAATGACTTCTGCAGTAAGTGGTGTGTGGTTTGACAGACATGTGATGCTACGTCACTACTATTTTTTTTACTTTCATTTTGAATGCTTGAAAAATAAAGCATGGGTTCACATTTCACCATGATCATTATCGGTAGTCCTTTTGAAGAATTGCTCAAATGTTTCTGGTCTGTTGAATAAGTAATATCCTAATAAATTGGTGATTAAATCTTGTTCATATAGACCATATCATCTGATATATATACGAGGGATGATCATAATAAACTGGACTTGTGCTGTCACAAACTATTACTTTTATATATCACACTTAATCAGAAAACATTACCTATAAACCGATACTATATCTTATCTAATAACTCGAATAGCTTGTCCGTAATTGTGAATTTCAAAGTCATGGTAACGCACACCTGGCAAAATGCATAAATTTGCGTTGATGACGGGCCCTTTATGATTGGTATATTTTACAGAAATACGCCGAAACATCGTGAGCTATCTAATAGACGTTGTCAGAATAAATGACTTCATTTATACCACCTTTGCCTTTGCAATCACAATTCCAACGTCACTTGTTAAAGAAATACTTGCATTAAAACTGATGTCCTCAGAATGTTCAAAAATCAAATAAAATTTTGTCAAAAGTCAGATTAGAAACTGTCTAAAACGTAGAATATCAAGAGAAAATGTCCTGGAAGCCACATCATAGTTTTCAGTTGGCATAAACGATTAAGAAAGGGTAATGGAGAAATTGTAGACAAGTCAGGCAGAGGCAGAAAGAAGAAATTTTCAAGGATGTTTGTGACATCAATTGCCGAGACTTTGAAAAATTACAGGCGAATAACTGCGGACATATCAACAATGTTTGATAGTAGTTAGGGGACAGTGCAGTCAATTCTAACTAAGGATTTTAAAATGAGAAATGCTAATGCATTGACTATTATATTCTTGGTTTACAACTGTATAATTATTTTACTCTTTTAACAATTTCATCAATGATCTTATGGTGAATTCAAAATCAGTTATGCGTGATATTTATTTCAAAATAATAACAATTTTGTTTTGAGTTGTATTATTCTTTTTATTTTATCGTTTATATGATATATTATCATTCAGCAAAAGTATATAAATACTTTTATACTTTTATTCTGAATAAATAAAATTGAATTAATGAATGAAATAATTAATTGATAAATTAATATACACTGTGATATTTGGTTTAGGAAAAAGATGTACTGTACATTAT